GTCGTTTTCGTAACATCAGGAAGATTACTTTAAAACTGCTTTGTTCAGTCATAACCGTTATCAATTTTTTCGATAGAATTGAATTCATTTGGAGCCTTTATTTCTGCTTAGCCCATTGTTGGTTCTTTCCTCACTGAAGTGATTTCTGCGCAAAGGCTGCCTTACCATCCTTGCTGAACGAAGTGTGATCGTAACTCGGCCCAGTTCTTTCCGTTAGCGTCTGGCCAGAACCTACGGTCCATTGGAAAGTGGCATTCTTGTCAGGCTTTAATCCACAGCGGCCCGTCTGAAAGTTACAGTTACCTGAGAAGACCAACGGATGACCAAAGAGCCCGATTAAAGAAAAAGCACAACAACAACAACAACAACAAAGCAGACAAGTAATTTCATAACCAAATCTGGACCGAAGCGCAAGTTGCTTATTTTTCTCTATGACTTTTGTGAGGTAAATCAATGTTCGATTGATGTAAAATTACCATTACTGATCTCCACTCCCGAGAAGCGATTTTAAACCATTCTATGGTCATTTTATTCTGACGCATGACTAAGGAAAAGAGGCCGTCAGAATAGAATAGCTCATTAGTCCTACGTATGAAAAGTTACCAGTGACTCATTACAGAGGAAATACTGACTTTGTTTTTGCCCTACCTCTGTAAGATCTACATCTCTTTTGGGCTGTGGTATTTTTGGAGGTACAAGCTAAATTATTAAGACTGCACCTGCCAGAACCTAGAAAACCAACAGATGAGACACCACTAAAATCTGCAGTTGCTGATAGACAAGACACCGAGAAAAGAACAGAGATTTTACAAAAGGGACGACTAACAGATAAACAAATAACTAACAAGTGGAAAACTTGGAACAATGAGATTATCAGACATAAAAAGTTTGATATGGAAGCTGTTGTTATTGGTGCCATTCAGAGTATCACGGTAGGTGACTGACCCCTCATTTGATCCCTCTGAAATAACTCTTAGATCACTATTGATACGGGAAATCTCTGGGGGANATTACTTGCAAACGAAGAGGAAACCTGTATTAATATGCAGAAATGTGAGTAGAATAGTGCACTGCATAAAATGGTCCGTATAAGGACTCTTCGTTTGGTTGTACACAGTCAGTACATCTACTCTTATAGATTTAGAGGATAAGCCATCTTAACCTCACGCTTTGTCAATAACGCCCATATACTGACCTCCACTGTAAAATTTTCCGGCTGTTTGACCGTGTCGAAAACAGCCGTGAAGGATGTGTTTACACAAGAAAGGCTCACTGCTGGGTTCACTGTTTTGTTTTCTCTTAGCGTTGAGATATTCAGTTGTAGCGGGCAGTCTGGGCAATACAAACCATCACAACAGAACTGGAAAAATCCTATGTAAAATGAAAGTAGCGATGTTTGTATGCTAGGTTTGACGTCTATTAGAGTACCATGTTATTTGTGTATTTTTTCCTCATCGAATTCGATGGAATGGAGTCAGACTCATTCTCGTCAACTAACGCGGTTCATTTTATCGCAATTTAAGCCTTTCTTTGGATAACAGTTTCATAGATACTACTTTCGAGTAACGGAAACATCGACACAAACATAAAATAGTCTTTCTCTATAATGGTAATGCCATTAATAACAAAAGTTATTGATCTCAATGACGATCATTGTAATGCTAGCTAATGTAAACAGCAACAAGAATACTGGCACAATGTTTAAAACTGAAAAAGAAAATCTGAAAGATTCATTGAGAGATAGGTGATTTTTATATAGTAGCGTTTAATTATTCCTAGTAGCTTAGAAGTACATGAAACACTCTTATCAAAATGCAAGACCTGATTAACTCACCTGAAATGCGCAATTCCGAACCAACGAGACCAAATATGGATGATTCGTGATTTTCAAGTGTCACTTCTAGTTTACGTGTCCCTATCAGAATTGAACGAAGAAGCAGCTTTTAACAATCACTACAATGCAGTTCTGGATGATTCTTGCTTCCAGTCCACGACAGCTGACATATCTAACAACGGTTAGATATGTCAGCATATCTAACCGTAATCTAGCATAATCCAATAACGGTTAGCTCAATTGGTTAGAGCGCTGAACTGTTGTGCGGGAGGTCGAGGGTTCGAACCCGGCCAGACCAACACTCATGGTCTTAAAATAACTGAGGAGAATGTGCTACCTTTCTATAATATCAAGAAATGGATAGACATTCTAGTCTTCTCGGATAAGGACGAATAAGCCGTAGGTCCCGTCTCTTGTATTTATTAATTAGATAATTCGATTAGGCAGGGGACATTAAAGAACCCACATTACGAGAAAAATGTGATGTGGTCTGGCCTGTTTACTGGGAATTGGGGGGAGGGAGCATCTGTTAAAATTCGCCTTTATTGTTTGTAAACTGCCACTGGCAGTCTGGTAAAGTCCCCCGTATAGTGCTGTAAAGCGCCTTGAACATAGGATAAGAGCGCTATAGAAATAAGAGTTATTATTACTATTATTATTATTATTATTATTATTATTATTATTATTATCATTATTATTATTAACAGAGCGAGCGTTATACCTGGTTTAGTCCAAAACAGTCTTTTTCTTGGAATGGGCCGTTCATATTCACCATTTGGTCTACGCATGCCCAAAGATACGTGGTCTAGGCCTACTATTTCACTCATAAAGACCTCCATTTGGTAAATGCGGCATTTGTCCAAAAATACTGGTTGTGATGTTTGCTGGGCTTTATACCTTAATGAACAAAACAGCATATATGATCTAAGAGAAAAAACACCCAGAAACCTTTGGGTGTATACCTAAAAGCCAGTGGCGGTTTTCTCTGCATATGAAACAAACAGGAGTAAGGATACTTCCCCCCCTGTCCTTGGGTAATTATCTTCTGTTTGGAAAGGTTTACTACTGTGTGAGCTTTCAAAAAAAGTGTCGTAATAAAGACCACAGCATGAAGATCGCACATAGGTTCTGACCTACATCCGGAGTTTAGGATGCCCAAGAATCGGTCGAAACTTTTTTCCCGATTATCTTTGAACGTACTGTGATACACATCCAAGTTTCAAGCGACCCTAATCGTATCAATTATTATTTTGCGTGTCTTACTTGTCCCATTGTTGATGGTTAGTCCATCTTTCAACAGTGATGATTGGTTGCTTGGACACAGTCTTTTCTGACTTCTTATCAACAGTTTCAATGCCTTCCTCAGTAACACCGTGCATCCATAGTTCACATAAATCATCGCATGCCACGTAAAATGTGTAATTACCACTCTCAGGAGCCTGTAGAAGGATGAATGCATTTTCTATATTGACAAAAGAAGGACGAAAAATGACCCAAGGCTACAGGAGATTGCATATTCCATTATTTCTTAAACCGAGAAGCTATTTTTCTGTCTCTCTGTTTTCCCACCCATTCGAGGTCACGCGATTTTGTACCTGTTCCAGTGCA